GATGGCGGCGGGCCGCGGTGGTCGTTGAGGTGTCGCGGCCGGGCGGGGATGGAGGCTCCGGTGGCCCCGGGCCCCGAGCGGCTCTTCGATTCGCACCGGTGAGAGCCGGAGCCGCGGCCCGGCCGGGGGGCGGGAGCCTCCCGGGAGGCTGCGGGGCCCGCGGGCCCGGCCGCCTGGCGCCTCTCCAGCCGCGCGCTGCTCCTCGGCCCGCAGGTTTCCGAGTGACGGGTTCCTGCTGCTGGCCCTGCTGCTCTACGCGCCCGTGGGGCTCTGCCTGCTCGTGCTGCGCCTCTTCATCGGCGTCCACGTCTTCCTGGTCAGCTGCGCCCTGCCCGACAGCCAGCTGCGACGGTGCGTGCGCCGCGGGACGGGGAGGGGGACGGGGCCGCTCCGCTCGGCCCCGCTCGGCGGGATCTGCCCCCCGGTGGCTCCAGCCCCCGCGCGGCCAGAGGCGCCGTCCCTGCCAGGGTCAAGGCCGGTGGCAGCTCCTGGGGACCGGTGGACACCCCGGCTGCTGGAGTTCCAGCCGCCCCCCCTGATTCACGCTCTGCAGGCAGCTCCGCAGCTCGTCCCACCCGGGGCAGCCCTGTCACTTCCATCCTACTCTGTAACATTAATTTACCTGGATTCACACTGTTGTTTGTTTGCTGGATGGCTGATGCTCCACGGCTGAGGCCGCAGCGCCTGAAGAGCCCCCTTCTCCCCCTCCAGATTTATCGTGCGTGTCATGTGCTCAGTTCTGGGCCTGTTTGTGCGGCAGAATGACCCGCGGCTCCGCGACGGCAGCGTGCGGGTCTACATCGCCAACCACGTGACGCACTTTGATCACAACGTCATCAGCCTGCTGACCTCGTGCAACACGGTGAGCTGGCCTCGCCGCGCGGCCGCGGTGTGCGGGGCAGGTCTGCCCGGCCTGCCCGGCTCCTGCTCGAGCCTTGGGCTCCCTTTCTGCACCTCAGGCTCGTGCTCTTGGGCTCTCTGCGAGAGCCTGGGACGGGTGGGCAGGAGCAGAGAAGGCAGCGGTCCTGCTGGGGGCTGTGTTATTGAAGGAGAGTAGGCAGATTGAAGCATCTCTGCGCCTTTTCCAGCCTTTCGAGCAGCTCCCGTCGGAGCAGGGCTGGCTGCGGGGATTCCTGCGGGTGCCACTCGCTGCCCTGCGCAGGAAGCAGCAGCCAAGGCCGCCTGACAGGGCAGCAGCGCTGGGGGTTGTGCAGCTGCCTGCAGCCTTCATGGAATTCCTTATGCATGGAATTTAGCCAATGTACTCCAAATGTGCCTGAATGTTACTTGATTCTGTCTCCTCAAGGGCAGCAGACTTGCTCTTCCCCTATCTAGGGAAGAGCAAGCTTCAGAACTAATGTATCCTTGACCAAGCTCGTCAGGAACTTACAGTAACCCAAGGCAGGGAGGAACGTTGTTCGTCAGATAGACAAGGTACAGTCTGAGCTGGAGATCAGGAATCAAATTCCAAGGCAAGCGGGACCCGAGCAGTTACTGAGGTCTGACAGTAACAAGTTCTCTGCTATTAGAACTCTTAGTGTTAAGTTTGCTGAGCCCCAAACAGGAGTTTTTGCTGATCAACAGGCACGTTTTCTTGCCTCAAAGGATGGACAAGAAGGCACCTCTGCTTGCTCTGTATTTCCTTGCAGCCTGCACTGAACGGTGCCCCTGGCTTCATCTGCTGGTCGCGGGGGTTCCTGGAGCTGGGAGCGGCGGGAAGCCGCGCGGAGCTGGTGGATTCCCTGCGGGTCTATTCGTCCCACGAAGGCAACGCGCCGCTGCTGCTCTTCCCCGAGGAGGCCGCCACCAACGGGCGGGCGGGTTTGCTGCGCTTCAGGTGAGCGAGGCGGGCGCCTGCGCGCGCGGCCGCCGCTGCCCCGCGGCCCCTCAGCGCTCATTCCTCCCTTGCAGCTCCTGGCCCTTCTCCATCATGGATTTGGTACAGCCAGTTGCCCTGCAAGTTCAGAGACCTTTGATCACTGTGGTGAGTCTGGGAGCTTAAAGCAAAGAGACGCTCTGCAAGCGTGCGCTTCGTGAGGGTCTTGGCGCAGGATTCGTTTTGCTTCTGCTTTGAAGCCCACAGCTATTGCAGGCTGATGCTTTTTCCTGTTGTCACAAGGCCTGACTTCCCTGGTGTTAACGCTTTTCATTTCTCGAGCGCGTTCCCTAGGGAGCTTCAGCTGGCTAAATTGATATTCTTCCAATTACACAGATGATTTTGATAAGCTTCCTCATGGCAGGGCTGTCAGTAGCACAGCGCCTGGCTTTGTGACCACAGGGTTGCTGTGCCCCTCTCCTCGTGTTTTAAAGGGTTTGGAAAGAGTAATTCGGTTGCCTTGGAGATGGAATGACGTGTCGAAAGTTATGTAAGGATTTCTGGGTTAGAGACCGTTCCCCAAGTGCAGATATGTAACGTGATGCAAGAGCAGACTGAGAAAAGCAGCAAAGTTCATCGTGATAATACCCGCACTGTGAAACAGGTTAAATAAATTTGTTCTTATTTACAGCATATGGTTTTATTGAGTTTCTGTATATTCTTGGTGTGATTTATGGATTAACCCATTAAAAGAAACTTGCAGTTTATATTTGTTGGGCATTTTAGCTGGTTTTCTGTGGTGCAGCTTTTTAAGGTGTCAGGACACATTGGGTAGGTTTCAAGCTGCTTCCCAGCAGGTCACCCAACATTGCTGTCCACACTAAAATATCATCAAGTGGGTGTTCTTAAGGTGAGATTATGTTAGGTATTAGTTCTTTGTGTAACTCTGTGTAGTAGTTTTGTCAGTGCTGTAGATCACAGTATTAAGATCCTTGCTGGTGAAGTTTGTGTTGATGAGAACTGAATGAGCTGTAATGCTAAGAGTGATCAGAACTGCCTGGTTAGATGGTCTCAGCCCAACAAAACACATTAGTAAATCCAGCCGTGAGGCTGCTAAAGAGTCCAAACTGATGCAGAGGGTTCGGAGGGAAGAAACTGCCTTCTAGGGCCCGGGTGACCGGGAAGTTGCTCCGAGCGTCAGGATGGGCTGCCAGGGAATCGCTGTTGCCTGCTAGACCAGCTGCACAACAAGGGTAATACCTGCTGTAGCGAGGGACGTGGGGTAAACTGTGTGTGTTGTGATGGGGAAAACTGTTGCGAGAACATTATGGGAAGTTCTGGTGTCCCCACTGTGTGACAGTCCCTAGAGAGGACTTGGTTAGTGAGAGCTCAAGGGACTGTAAGCAGGATGCAGAAACTGGAGAATAAACTGTGGAGATGCCTGGCTTGAGCAGCCTGCCGGAGATAGGGCAGAGATCACTGCTGTTGCCTTGTTGCGGAATAGGCTTAAGAGTGAAGAATTCTCCTTTTCTTTTTCTTCTTTCCTGACAAAGTACACAGCAGTTTTGGCAAGTGCTGAGGTTAGATGTTGGTACTACACAAATTCAGTTTGGAATTAAGGTGCAGTTTCCTAATAGAAAACTTGGTACCAGCCAATAGAAAATCACTAGAGTCATTGAAAAAGTAAGTTGGAAGGGCTCTCTGGAGGTCTCTAGTTCAGCTTTTAGCTCAGTCGGGCTAATGCTTGATCAAGCTACTTGGGGCCGTATCCACTTAAGAGGAATGGAGGTTCCCTGAGCTGTGAGCCAACGTTCCAGTGTTAGCCCCTGTCTTCTGGCCAAATGTCACCTTATTTCTCAGAGGAAATGTTAGTTAAGAGTCTTTGGAAAAGAAAGAAAGTAATAAAACACGGCTCGCTTTTAATGTTTTCTATTCAAAGTGACTTAAAACTCCACAGTGCAACCCGTTAGGAAGTAGGAAATAGTGCATTGCAGCTGAGATGTTATGCAGGCTGTTCCCACGAGGACAACTGTTCCCTTGGGGGTAGGTGTGCTCTGAATCGTGTCTAGTAAGAGTTTCTTGTTCCCAACAACAGCAGCCAGGATCCTGCAGGCCACAGGTCTCCACTGCTGTGGGAGATGCCAGGAGCGAGGGATGTTTGTGATGCCAAGGGGGATCACGGGCTGCAGGCCGCTTTTCAGCTGTTCCTGAAGGCCGGCTCTGATGGAGCTGGGGGGAATGCGACCTTGACTCCCTTGCCCTGCCTGGGAGGAACTGTCGGAGATGGATCTGCAGGGCTTGTCCTCTCTGCTCTGGATTTGCCCTCTGCTCTTGCCCGCTCCCCCCAGCTCTGTGAGCTGCTGCCGTGGCCTGGCTGCTGCCCCCGCTGCCTGGGCCGTGGTCTTACTGTCCTTTCTTCCCTAGAGCGTGGCCGACTCCTCCTGGATTGCAGAGCTTCTCTGGACCTTCTTTGTTCCCTTCACAGTTTATCAAGTAAGGTACTATCTCCCTCCCTCTCTCATTTGGGCTAGGGGTGGGGTGGGCAGAGGGCCTGGTGGTTTTGCCCCCTCCCCTGTAACGAGCGTTCTGTACGTGCTGGTGTGCGGCTGCGTTGTGGCACCTCAGCGTGACTCTGCTCTGCGTTACGTGGGCCGGGGCAGGCGCTTCCCACCGGCTTCCGCAGCGGCGGGGACTCAGCTCCTGCCGCTGGCCGGCGGAGTGGAGCCGCCTCGGGCTTTTCTCTCCAGTTTTCCGCTGCGTTTCTGCTGCTGGTTCCTCTGCTGCACACCCGGCCCCGCAGGGGCTGCTGTGATCCCACAGGCGTTTCCCTGCAGGCAGTTTGTTCCTGCAGCACCTGTCCCCTGTGCTCCCCCATGAATTGCAGGGGTGGTTAAGAGCCCCCCTAGGGCCCCGTGAGCCCGGGGTGGCTGAGCAGCTTTGGGGTAACAGGGGTCTGTGGGCAGTGCAGGGGCCTGGGCACAGACTCTTTCTACCATGGATGTGTCGGGGGCTGTTTCATCAAGGAAAAGCTTGTGCTGTAGGTTTCCCCAGGCCGCGTCTAGATCAGCTTGAGTCTTGCTGATCTGTTTTCTGTTGTCATGTGCTTGGCAATGTCCCCTCGTTTGGGGCCTCTTGGGAACTTCCTTGGGGGCTGTTCTGCATGTTGTCCTTGAGTGCTGCTGAAGGCCAGGGGGGCCAGTTTTGTCTCCCAAGCTGCACCTGGGCCCTGCCGCTGCGGGTGGCACCGCTTGACCCTGCTCTTGTGCGAGGAGATGAGGGATGGGCAGGGAGAGCCGGGGTGGGGACGGTGCCGCCTCCGTGGCCACCGCGCCACCTCCGTGGCCACCGCCTGCGGGGTCTGCGCAGCCCTCGAGGCAGCCGGCCCGCTGCTCTTGTCCCCGTGCAGGTGGATGCCGTCTGTCCCCAGGCGGGCTGAAGAACAGAGTGAAGATTTTGCGCTCCGAGTTCAGGAGGTAGGAGGGAGTCGTGGGAGGGGGCGTGCAGGGCAGCTGGGGGGGCCCCAAGGGGGATGTAGCCAGGGCTGCCAGGTGGGGCCCTGGCAACACGGGAGCTCTGGCCCCTGTTTATTGCCCCATAGGGTATCCACCTCTTCCGTGGCCTGTTTTCATCAGCCCCCTGTCCTCTCCATGGCTCTCTCCATGTAGTCCAAACCTTTCACAATGTTACCCATGAAACAGGGATTGCTTCTCCACCCTACCCTCATGTGCTGGTTATCTCATAGCTCCCATGCCAAAGATGTTGCGTCTCCCCGTCAGCCTGTTGTGGCAGGCTGCTGTTGCAAACTCCTGCTCCTTTCCATGCTCCATGTGGCACTGAGGCTCTGGAGCAATCAGTTCCTGGCCTTGTGTCCCTCGTGGTGGCTCCAGGCCGGCCTGTGCAGCAGCCGTGCCCCGTGGCGGGATGGCAGCGCCGTCGTGAGTGACTCTTGCGCTCATCTCTGCAGCTCCTCGCCGTGGAGCTGGGTGTGGTATCCACACGGCTCACCGCAGCAGACAGAGCCGAGCACATGAAGAGACTGCGGCACACGGCACTTCTCCCCTTTGCCCCAGGTACGTGGCCTGGCTCGTTCCTCGCCCCTCTGGAAGGGCTGCGGTCTGCTTGTGGTCACCGGCACGTGGAGGGAGAGGAGAGGATGGGTCCCTGGCTCGGACATCCCCTGGGACCAGGCTCTGGGTGGAGGGGGCAGCTGCCTGCAGGGCAGAGGGCCTCTGCTCCCAAGCACATGCAGGATGCAGCAGGATGTGGCGTGCTGGAGATTCTGCTCTCTTGTCCCATCAAGCTAGAGAAAGCGGAGCTGTCGCTACTCGAAGGCTGTGTGTTTCGTGGCAGCCCTCACGTGGCCTCCGTTTCCTTCACAGCCTCATCCCTGGCAGCCAGGCCCAGGGTGCCTTCCCGCGTGGCTGGTGCTGGCCCCTCGGCCGCCGAGGACGTGCGGGTCACGGCGATGGCGCAGCGGGTCAAGGAGGTGCTGCCTCACGTGCCTCTGGAGGTCATCAGCACAGACCTGGGTGAGTGCCTGAGCCCTCAGCAGGGACACAGGGCTCCCTCGTGCCACATGAGACCCGAGAGCAGAAGCCTGGTGTTTGCTCTGGGGACGTGGGTGTCCTGGCTGCAGGAGCCCCCTCTCTAACAGATACTCTACTCTGCAGCCCAGACCAATTGCGTGGATACCACCATTGCCAACTTGCTGGAGGGGAGAGTGTCCTTCTTCCCTGAAAGTAAGGAGGCCACCACAGACCTGCCTGCCCCGTCTACCTCCCAGGCTGCAGCAGCTTCTGCCTTCCAGGGCTCCATGGCTGTGCCTTCCTCCAAGGTATGGTGGAGCCTGTGGTGTTGGCCCTGCTCAGACGGGCGGCCAGAGCGTGGCCTGATGCCGCGGGAGCTGAAAACCTTAAACTGGCTGGGCCGACTTGCTGGCTGCCTTCGGGGCAACAGAGATCTCCTGATTTTGTCTGATTCTCTTCTGATTGTTTTTTGTCCTTTCCTTTCCAGCCAGCTACAAAGCATTTTGCAAAGTCCTCTGTGGAGCGGCATCTGTCCTTGCAGGAGCGGAAACGAGCACTCTACGACTATGCCAGGAGGTGAGTGGACTGTGCCCCGTCCCGAGTCCCCACGTGCCGTCCCCAGCACAGTCAGGGTTTGCCCCAGGCAGGGCTTGGCTCTCCCCTTGCCCCCTTTCCTCCCAGCTCTTCTAGCACAGTGCGGTGGGGCCGAGGCAGCGAGTTGTGGTTAACAGGTGACAGATATCTGCCTCCTTTCTCTCCTCCCAGGGACACAGGCCCCTGTCAATCCTGGGAAATGCTGTCTCCTGTTCGGTCACTAATCTTTTGGTTTGGGGACAAGGTAGAAGCTATTTGTCAGAAATGCAGCTTTTGGGCCATAGTGCTTCTCAGAAGGTGTGGTTGTGTTCGATGTTACGGATTTGACCCATAAAAGTCACTGTGGGACTAAGGGTACATTTTTCTGGGCTAATGTTGCTGCTACGGGCCATTCCTTTGGAGAAAGAGGCCTGATGCCTGGCAGCAGTGGTAGTGCAATTAATTTTCCTGCGCATGAGTGCAGAATGGTAGCAAAGAGCAGGGAGTGACTTTGACATCTGTGTATGGCTTGATAAGATGAGTGTCCACTTCTGGTGTGTGGGTTTTATTTGGAAAAGATTCTGAAAATTCAGGAGAAGTTTTGGAGCGACAGTATTAATCTGAGGTGGAGTCTGTTAACAGGCCGTGCTGTGAAAGAGATGGGTCAATGTGTGCAATTGTCCTCCTGGGTGAAGGGACTGGGTGCTGAATGGCTCTCAGGTCCTAGAGGAAAGCGGGATAGGAACCAGTAGCTGGGAGCGGCTGTCAGACAGCTGTTAGCCAGGGAGCTCTGAGAGGGAAGCTGGTTATTGGGCGGAATGGGCGGCTAGCGGGAGCGTTGGTCTCCATGCCTGTGTTCCCGGCAGGGGAGCCAGCCCGCGCCCGGGAGCTGCTTTGGGAGCTGCTTTGGGAGGCGGTTCTGGAGCTAGTGGAGCCTCTGCTCGAGGCCGGGCCCTGGGGGGTGATAACGGGCGGTGCCGGGAGGGCCGGGCCGTGCGGAGCGGCGCCTGCGGCTCTGCCCAGCGCTGTGATCCCACTGGGCAGCACCGGGAGCCTCCCCGTGTGTGAAGGGCAGCAATCCCCCTCTCTGGCAGCCTCCTGGGCCGGGCCTGCGTGCGGGGCAGCAGCGGGTGCCCTTGGCTGGGGAGGGACCGGGGGCAGGCGCCACTCTGAGCTTCGTCTGGGACACCCCACGAGTCCGAGGAGAAGGTCCCGCGGTTTCTCAGGTCTGTTAGACCTGGCGGCTCTCTGGCCTTCTGTCAGTTTTCCTCTGCTATCGAAGGTCTAGGAATTTCTGTGATTGGGAGTTGAAGCCGGGCACATCCTGGTGCGCGTCCCCAAAGCCCTGAGGACAGTGGGTGGCTCCTGGTCAGCAGGGATTGAACCGGTCCCTGAGAGCTGGATTCCCCTGAGAGCCGTCTCCGGTGTGGACCGGATCGCAGGGCAGAGCGGCAGCCGTGTCTGCAGCCGGGGCACGGGAGCGGGCGCAGAGGGGCCGGGCGCTGCGTTTCCCTTCATCCCCCTTTTGAGGATCTTCTGACTGTCGCTGTAGGGAGGCGGTCTCTGTTCTTCCTCAAGAAGGGAGGCCCTAAGGGCGTTAGCGAAAGGTGATTTTAGTCCTGATGTTTATTGCCGAGGGCATCCTGGCTGTGCGGGGCGCGGGAGCAGGCCCGTGTGTGGCCGAGGTCCCGGCGGCCGTGACCGTCGCTCGCAGCTCGCGGGCGGCTCCCTGCCCGGCGCTGGCCGCTGTTTTCCGTACAGCCCTTGTGCAGCCGAAAGGGCCGGGGGGGGCCGCCCACAAACCGTGCCTCCCGGTGCCGGGGGTCGCGCGGGGCACCGGGGAGGAGCCGGGCTCGCGGCCGCCTGCCCCGCGCAGTGCCCGAGCGCCCCGTGCGGCGGCGGGGGGCCCGGGCGGCGCCGGCTGCCGCCTCCCGCCGCGTTTCTCCCGCAGGAGGTTCGCCGAGAAGCAGGCGGCGGCGCGGGCCGGCGGCAGCCCCTGACCGCGGCACCGCGAGCGGAACCGGCACCGCGAGCGGAACCGGCACCGGGCGCGGCAATAAAGGGCGGAGCCTGCGCCACGAGTCGCTGCGCCGTGGGGGCGGGGCTAAGGGGAGGGGCGGGGGCGGGGCAGCGCCAGACCACGCCCCCGGGTCGCGGCGGGCCGCCCGGCTCCGTGCTGCTCTGCACGCGCCCGGCCGCCGCCCGCGCCTCCGCGCGCACGTAGGCGCCGTTTAAAGGGGCAACGCGCCCGGCGCCGGGCGGCGCGCATTAGCGCGGCCGCTGCCGCTTTAAGGGCCGGGGCTCCGCGTCGGATGGTTTTATTTACATGGGGGCGCGCGGGCGTCACGTGACGGGCGGCGGGAGCCGGGCGGCGCGGAGCGCGCGGCCACCCGAGGGGCCATGGCGGCCGGCGGCGACGACGGTGCGGGGGGGATGCGTGGGGGAGCGGGGGAGCTCCGTCCCGGGGTGCCGCGGGAGGGGGGAGCGAGGCGGGAGCGCCGTCCCGGGGGGTCGCGGGAGGGGGGAGCGGGGGAGCGCCGTCCCGGGGGGTCTCGGGAGGGGGGAGCGAGGCGGGAGCGCCGTCCCGGGGGCTGGGGAGGGGGGTCCCGGCCGGGTCCCCTCGAGCCGGCCGCCCCCGCAGGCGCCGGGGTGCAGCTGTGCGGCGCGGGCCGCCCCGGGCCCTGCTGCTTCGCCTCCCGCCCCGCCGACGTGGAGCGGATGCTGCTGGAGGCGCAGCTGGACGCGGAGCCGCTCAGGTGAGGCCGCCTGCTCCGGAGACACCACGGCCCGGGACACCGCGGGCCGGTGCCACTGCTGCCCCGTCTCCTGCTGATGGCGCCTTGGCCTTGGCAGCCCCCCGCCCATGCTGAGCCCCGCGGGCCGGGATGAGGCCGGCGCCGCCGCTCTGGGCCAGCAGCCTCGGCCGCACAGGCAGCGCCCGTCCGGGCGGAGCCGCCGCCGGCCGCCCGTGCAGCAGGAGCCGCCGCCGCGGGAGCCGCCCGAGCGCCGCCTGCCACCCACGTAAGGCCTGCGCCCCACGGCCCCCATGCATGGTGCCCCCGCACCAGCTCACGCGGTGCCCCCAGGGCGCTGCCTGGCCGCCCGCGGCCCCGGAGCCTGCCCGGCGGTGCCGACACGCGGCCCTTCTGCCCGGGGCTGCTGCTGCCACTGGCGCCGCCACTGCTGCTCAGCCACCTGCTCGCGCTGCGCCTCGGGTGAGTGGGGCCAGGGTGGCTGCGCCCGGATCGGGACCGAGCCCTGGCCTCAATCCCGCTCACGGCAACGCCTCCGCCCTCTCCCGCCAGGATCTACATCGGGAAGCGGCTGGCAGCCTCCTCGGCCAGCCCGCTGTGAGGAGGACCGAGGGCAGGGGTGCAGCCTGGCGGCCGCTCCTGCTCCCGGTGCAGCCTGGCGGCCGCTCCTGCTCCCAGCACAACGACTGCTCCTGCTCCCGGCGCAGGTGCTGGTGGCCCAGGGGCCCGTGTCTGTGTCCCGGTTCCCTCCCCGCATGCGGCGGCGCTGCAGGGCCCATCCTGGCCGCGGGTCAATAAAGGGAGCAGAGCGCGTCGGCGGGGGCCATGGCTGCGGCCTTAGCAGCGCTTTGCACGGGCGGGTGCGGAGATGGCATCTGCACTGGAGCTTTATTGCGGGGCACCAAGCGACGTGGCCGTGGCGCTGGCACCGAGGGCAGCCGTGGGACGGCAGCTGGAGCCGGTGCCACACGGAGCCCTCCTGCCCCTTGCTCAGGGTGCCAGCGAGGAGGCCCCTTTCCCTGTGCGGCTGGGGCGTGGGATTGGGGCACGGAGAGCGCCGTGGGGAGACGGGCAAGGACACGGCATTGGGGAGATAGGGTTGGGGATGTGGGTTGGGGATGTGGCGACGCAGGTTGGTGCAGGGTTGGGGACATGGGGTTGGGGATGCAGGGAGCCCCATGGGGCCAGGGGGAACCTGGTGGGGGGCGTGGGGTTGGGGACACGGGGTTGGGGGTGCAGGAACCCCCATGGGGAGCCTGGTGGAGGCGCAGGGTTGGGGACACAGGGCTGGGGACACGGGGTTGGGGACACGCACGCGGTGGCAGCAGCAGCAGGAGGGCTCATCCAGCGCGAAGGCAGCAGCGGGGGCCAGGGGGGCGGCACCGCAGTCACATCCCCATGGCCTCAGAGCTGCGACACCCGCCTGGACTTGGGGGGCGGTGGCGGCGGCGGCCACTTCAGCCCCTTGTTCCTGTCCAGTGCAGGCGACGTGGGCACCTGGGGACGGGGAGGTGGCTCAGTGGGGGGGCAGCTCGGAGGGGGGCAGCTCCATGGGGGCTGCTGGGCGCGGGGGCCGGGGTACCTTGGTGCCGCTTGCCGCCTCGCCCGGCTCCAGGAAGGTCTCGTACACGGTGGGGCTGATCCTTCGCGGCGGCGGCAGCGCCTTGCTGGCGCTCTTCACGCGGCCCCCAAAGCTGGTGGGTGACAGCGCTGGCCCTGGGGGGGACGCGGGGTTGGAGGAGCCCCCTCGGGAGCGGCGGCCACCCCGGGAGCACAGTGGCCTGGGGTGCATGGGAGTAGCCAGCTCCGATGCCGTCGCAGAGCAGCGCTGCTCCCGGGAGCAGGGTGGCCCGGGCAGGGGTGTGTGGAAGCAGCCGGCTCCGATGCCGCCGGCACAGCGGGGCGCTCCGGCTGGGCGGCTGTGCCGGGGGCTGTGCGCGGCGCTACCTGCAGGGCCGGGCTGTGCGCCCGCGGGCTCCCTGCTCGCCGGGGGCCTCCGCTCCGCGCCGCTCTCACCCACGTTGCGGGGCAGTCTCTGCCCCTCGTCCTGCGGTGGGAGGCTGCTCAGCACCGTGGCCGGGCGCTGCAGGGCCCTGCGCCCCCTGCCCGCGGCAGCACCTGCAGCCCCGGGGGCTCCGACACCGACTGGCGCTGCTCCTGCCGCCGCTGTCCGAACACGGTGCTGGCACGGTGCTCCCTGCGCTCGCTGCGGCGCTGCTCGCCCTCGGCCGGCCTGGGGGCTACGGCCGCCTCCGCGCTGTCGGTGCCCGCGCAGGGTGAGCTGGGCGCGGGCAGGACCGCTGCACCCCAGCTGGGCACGACCGGCCCTGCCGCGCACCGCGGCCCCGCTGCACTGGGGCCGGTCCGTGTGCGCGGCGGCACTTGCCTGTTCGCGGCGCCACTCGGCCGCTCCCACTCGGGTGCCCAGGACACGGAGCGGGGCCGCCCTCCGCGCCGCTCCTCCAGGGACACCTGGGAGGGGCCGGGAGCCGTCCCGGAGCCCGTCCGGCCATGGGCACCATGCGTGGCCCCCCTGTACTGCCACACTCACCATCTCCCGCACACCGTACTGGCTGTGCACCTTGGCGCGCAGCTGCTCGAAGCACTGCTCCATGCGCGCGTGGAAGGGCCGCAGGTCTTCCGTCACCTTCCGCCCGTGGATGCGGATGCCCTCCGCCAGCAGTGGCGCCTGCGGGGGGAACGCGCTCGCGGTGGCTCCATGCGGGGGTCCCCGGTGCCCGCCAGACACAGCCCCACCTGCCAGGCGATGAGGTCCTTCAGCCTCTCCACGCCGGCCTCGTCCTCGGGGTGCTCCCGCAGGTAGGATTCCTGGAAGAAGGCCTGTGGGAGCAGTGGATCAGCGCCACAGCGCCGGAACAACCGGGGACCCGACCACCCTTCAGCCACGTGCTGACCGTGCATGTGCCCGTGGGCATGTGTGTGGGCATGGGCATCTGCCCTGCATCTGCCCCTGCATGTGCATGTGTGTCTGCCCCTTCATCTGCCCTTATGTCTTCCCATACGTCTTCCTGTGCCCGTGCTCACCGTCTCGTACTTGGCGAAGCCGCCCATGACGGCGGGGTCCACGATGCCGTTGAGCAGCATGGAGAGCGGGTTCACAGGCAGGCTGGGGTCGTTCTGGTGCCGGTTGATCTCGCTCAGGATCTTCTCGTTGGTTCTTGTCATGGTCTCGATGGCGTTTTCCAGGGGGCTGATGATGGTCTGCACGGGGAGGGCGGCACGGGGGTGAGCGGGCGCCGGAGCCGCGGGCCGGGCTCCCGTGGGGCCTCCCGCTCACCGTGGCTGTGGCGGTGACCGCGAACCAGCGCAGAATGCCGGGCAGCGGGTACGCCGTGGTGAACGTGGTCCGCTCGATCCACATGGTCTGCGGGCGGGCAGCAGGGCTCCGCGCTGCAGCCCCCGTGCGCTGCAGCCTTTGTGGGTTGCAGCCCCAATGCACTGCGACCCCCGTGTACTGCAGCCCCTATGCACTGCAGCCCCCACGCGCTGCAGCCCCTGTGTGCTGCAACCCTGTGCACTGCAGCCCCCATGTACTGTAGCCTCTATGCACTGCAGTCCCATGTGTTGCAGCCCCCAAGTGCTGCAGCCCCCATGCAGTGCAACCCCGTGCACTGCAGCCCCTGTGCGCTGCAGCCTCTATGCACTGCAGCCTCTATGCACTGCAGTCCCGTGCGCTGCAGCCCCCATGCACTGCAGCCCCCATGCACTGTGGCCCCCGCACCGCCTCCCCACCAGCCTCGTCTGGAATGCAGCAGCACCTGCCCCAGGGTAGCGCCCACCACAAGGCTCCCCCAGCCCTACCTCCCCATGGCACAGGATGGGTGCCGCAGCCCCCACCTGCCCCCCAGCTCCTGCCTGCCCCCCGGCCCGTCCAGGCTCCCCGCAGCGACGCTCACGGCAAACTCGTTGTCGGGGTCCTTGGGGCCCTTCTGGAAGGGCCGTGAGTAGCTGAAGCTCTGCACGTGGTTGGCCTTGTAGAAGCTGCCGGGAGGGGCACGTTGGGGAGCCCCCCAGCCGGGACGTCCCGGCGGGAGGCGCTGTCCGTGGCCGCGCTCATCCCGGCGGGAAGCAGCCACCCCGAGCGCGGCGCCGCGCGGGACTCACTTGGTGATCTGCTCCGGGACGCTCCGCTCCTTGAACCGCACCCGGGCTTCCTCCACCGGCTGCACCGTGAAGCACTGGATGTCTGCAGGAGTGAAGGAGCCGCAGGCATGCGCAGGGACAGGGACCGGCACCACCAGAGACACGGATGGGGATGGGACTGCACAGGGATGGGGATGCGCACAGGGATGGGGACTGCGCAGGGATAGGGGTGCACACAGGGATAGGGCTGCACACAGGGACAGGGGTGCACACAGGGACGGGGAGCACACAGGGACAGGGGTGCACATGGGAATAGGGGTGCACACAGGGACGGGGAGCACACAGGGATAGGGGTGCACACAGGGACAGGGGTGCACACAGGGATCAGGGTGCACACAGGGGCGGGGAGCACACGAGGCTGTGGGCGAGGGCCCTCCAGCACGACCGCCAGGATACACTGCCCCGGCGAGGCGGTGACGTCCGGCCCCGGCGACGACGTGGTCTTCAGCTTCTCCGCGTTGGGGAAGGGGCTGAGCAGGCGCAGCTCGAAGTCCTCCCGGCGCTCGTACTCCTTGCCCCGGTAGATGAAGACCTTGTTCTGTGGGGAGGGTGGTCACGGTTGGCCCATGCTGGCTCTGGCAGCACCACCTCAAGGGACACCACGTCCCAAAGACACTTTGGGCCCCTTCACTGGTGCAGGAGAGGAGGAAGCAGCCAGGGGCAGTCCCTGCCAGCTCCCCCTGTGCCCGTATCACGGTGGGGACTCGGACAAGTCACGGGGCTCCCATGAGAGTCCTGCAGGTGCCTGGGCGCAGAGGGTGCAGTCAGCATCACTGCACAGGGATGAGGCGGCACCGCTGCACTGCAATGAGGCAGCTACTCTGCACCAGGACAAGGCAGCACCATTGCACTGGGACATGGCACACCGCTGCACCAGGACAAGGAGGCCGCGCTGCACCAGGACAAGGCGGCCGTGCTGCGCCCCGCTATGGGAGCTCCTGCCTAGGGACCGTCATGGCTCCCTGGAGTGGGGCCGGTGCCTCCCTGCTCCGCTCACCCGCAGGAAGGTGGGGAAGCCCTGGCCGTAGTAGCCCACGGCGAAGTAGTCGGGGCTGGGCCGCAGCACCTTGAGGATCTTCTCATAGAACTTGGCCTCACGCTGCTGTGGGGACACGAGGAGCTGCAGGGCAGCAAGGCCACGGGACGGGCCCCGTCCTGACGTCCGCGGGCGCTGCCCGCCCCGCAGCTCACCAAGATGTCGCTCAGCATCTCGTAGTCGAAGACCTCGCTCTCGTACTGCTCCGCCAGCTCCTTGCAGATGTGGATGGCCTCCTCCCACATCTGCAAACGCAGTGCAGGGCCAGGGCCCAGCTCCCACGTGCACCCTGCTCCACATGCACCCTGCTCTGCACATGCTCTGCTCTGCATGCGCCCTGCTCTGCACACGCCCTGCTCTGCACATGCCCTGCTCCACATGCGCCCTGCAGCCCGCTCTGCGCCCCCTTCTCTGCGCGCGCCCTGCTCACCTTGCCCTGGTCGAAGTAGCTGATGATCTGGTTGTAGAGAGCCTCCTTGAGCTGCCGCTGTGTGTGCAGGCTGGGGCTGTGCGAGCCCTGCATGGGGGCCGTGTTCGGCTCGTCCGACCACTGCAGAGGCCACGGGACCCATGTTACCCTGAGCCGGGGGCCATGCGCCCCACGTCCCCCCGTGTCCCCCCATGTCCCCGCTGCGTCCCTACGTCTCCGCAGGCACCTTGAGGAGTCGCGCGTGCAGCAGCAGCGTGTAGGCTCCCTCCGTGTAGTTCTCGTAGCTCACGTGCAGGTCCTTGAGCTTGTAGAGGTACCTGCGGGCGAGGGCAGGCGGTGCAGGGGTGCCCGGTTGCCACGGGCCGTGCGGGGCGGCCCCACTGCCCCTCACCTGATGTACATGGCCTGGCGGTCGATCTCCTTGTAGAAGTTCTGGGGGGAGCAGAGGGCGGTCAGGGGATCTGGGGGGTGCAGTCTGGGGTTGTGGGCGCTGCGGGAACCATCCCAGCAGGGGAACAGGGTCACTCTTGGGAGCAGGTTCTGCAGGAGCCGCCACAGACCAGGAGCGGCTCCATGGAGCCTCCACGGACAGGCAGGGCTGGTGCCTCTGGCACCGGGGCTTGGGGATGCTCTGGGACATGGGACGCTCTGGGACCTGGGCAAGTCCCGGGACACAGGGCACTGCGGACCCAGGGAGAGGGACCTGCTGCACCGGGACCCCAGGGTGCCTGGGTGCCGAGCGGGCCCTGGGCACAGCGGGACCCACCAGGAGGTTGACGGTGCAGCTCATGCTGTAGGTTTTGTTCTCGTCGTTCATGACGGCGCGGTAGTCGAGGAGCCGCTCCAGGAGCCCCGTCACCAGCGCCACGAAGTTCTCGCCGGGCTCGGCCAGCTGCGGGTGCCCGCGGCAGCAGTCGAGCAGGCTGGGGGAGGCAGCGGGTGTCAGGGCAGCACCGGGAACCCCGGCCCCACTCACCGGGCTGCGACGGGCAGAGCGGGGCCGGCGGGAGCGGCACCGGGAGCAGCGGGGCCGGCTCTCACATGCTCTCGAAGAGCTGCTTGTACTGCTCGTCGCCCCGGCCGCCCTCCACCTCGCTGTCCAGCTTGCGCAGGAGCTCGTCCTCGAACTGCGAAGGGAGCCGGCAACATTACCCGACCCCCTCCACTGCTGATCCCAGTGCAGGGACCCCATGGAGCCACCCAGGGTCTCCAACCCCTCTGTCCCTGGGGTCCCCTGTGCCACCCAGGGCCTTGTGCCCACCAGCTCCCACCCGCTGGCCTCATCCCCATCCTCCATCCCCCGTGCGTGGCCTCGTCCCATGTCCCCGTGTCCCTCATCTCTCCCTGCTGCAGCCCCACACCCCACTGTCTGGGACGAGGTAGAGGCCCCTAGCCGAGGGAGGGCCCAGGGGGTCGCGGCGTCATCGTGGCGCTCACGCAGCTGAAGCTCTCAGTCAGCTGGTACTCGCAGAGCATCATGTCGAAGAAGATGGGGATGGTGGATCTGCGCAGCTCCAGCTCCGGCACCAGCGTCATCTCCAGGATGGGGCCCACCATGGCGGGGATGAACTCGATCTTGCGCTGCCCTGGGGAGGCAGGAGCGGGGCAGAGCACCGGGGCGGGCGCAGCGCCGGTGCGGAGAGGCTGGCGGCCGCGGTGCCGCCCCAGGGAGCCGCGGCTCTCACGTGCCCAGGCCTGCGCGTGCGGAGCGGCGCCCTGCGGCCGCTGACCAGCAGCTTGCACCCCTGCAGGTGCCTGCAGCCTCATCGTGCACCCCTGCACGCTTGCACACCCACAGCCTTGCACACCTGCATGTTTGTACACCCAGGAGCCACACACTCATGTTTGCACACCTGAAGCTCACATACCTGCAGATTTGCACACCTGGGCTCACACACTCACACACCTGCACATTTGCACACCCTGGGCTCACACACTTGCACACCCATGCGTTTGCATACCTGGGCTCACACACTTGCACACCCACACATTTGCATACCTGGGCTCACACGCTTGCACACCCACACATTTGCACACCTGGGCTCACATGCTCGCACACCCGCACGTTGGCGTGGCCACATGCACAGCCCAGTTTGGTGCCGTCCCGCCGCGCGGTGCCTGTCCCTGCAGGGGCAGTGCCGCGTGGTGAGCAGCACGCGGACCAGGCTCACCGAGGTTGTACCACATGTCCCGGATGGCAGCACCAATCGTGGCTCGCATGTCCCCATACCTGCCGGGATGGCTTGATTAACATCACTCCTGCCACCCAGGCACTGCTGGAGGCCTCCCAGGACCCTGGCCCAATGGGACAGCAGCACCGGGACACGGGGGCCGCATGGGCACCACTGGGCGCCAGATGCCTCACTTGGCCAGGATGCTGGTGCGCTTGGCCTGGGAGAAGTTCTCCAGCTGCAGGGAGTCCTGGGTGAGGAAAGCCACGGCCAGGTGGAAGTAGTTGTTCCAAAGCTGCAAGGGAAGCACGGATGGGAGGTGGGAGCTGGGCACACAGGGGCAGGGGGATGTGGGAGGCAGGAACAGGGGAAGATGGGGATGCAGGGAGCAGGGTGGAACAGGGAGCAGGCAGCCCTGGCCCTTCTTGCTGGGGTGCATGGGTGGTGGGACTGGGTGCTGTGGGGACTGGGTGCTGGTGGGTGCAGGTCTCACCTGCAGCTCGAAGCTGCTCTGCTGCAGGAAGGTCTCCCGGAGGGTGGCTGCGAAGTGGTTGATGGTGCGCAGGAACTCACTGCGGAGCGAGCAGCCATGGCACCGGAGCAGGAGCACACGGGGCAGCCCAGCCCGGCCCGGTCCGGCCCGCTCCTCACCGGTTCTGCACCATGTTCATCACCACCCAGTCCGAGGGATACACGGTCTTGCCGATGAGGTCCTTGAAGAGGATGAAGGTCTCCATGAGGAAGTCCTGCCGGGAGGGAGGTGTCAGTGCCGGGCTCCGCTCCAGGCAGTGCTGCTGGAGCAGGGGCAGCGGAGCAGCAGCAGTGCCCAGAGGCCTGTGCATCCCATGGGGCACGCCGCACCGAGCCCCACCAGGACACTCACCATGAGCTCGGTTCGGGAGGGGAAGGCTGCAATGTAGGAGCTGTAGTGCTCCGTGTCCATCTGGCTGAGCATGGCTGTCATGCAGGCCACGTAGTGGCTCTGGGGAGGGAAAGGCACTGGAGGGGCCTGGAGTGGCACAGGCACCCGGTCCAGCCTGCCTAGAGGTCACTGTGGCCAGACCCACCAGCTGCACCAGGGGCCTGTCACAGAGCAGGGACACGCGGTAGCCAGCAGGGCAAGAGCAGAACGAGGCACTGTGTAGGAGCAGGAGCCCCAGCGCAGGCTTCTCCGGTGCTGCCTGCTTGGGGCTGCTGCGCTGCTCCTGGCGGCTTCACGGGGACAAGGGGAGCAGCCCTGGAAGGGAGTGGGGCCAGGGAGCGTCCTCGTGCACAGGGCAGCCGCCTCATGGCCCTGCACGCAGCACCCAGCTCGCATCCCACCTGCGCGCTCAGGGCTTGGTGCTGCGGGGACAGCGCCAGGCACACGCTGTGCCGAGGGGATGGGAGCTGTGCCACGAGGACAGGGCCAGCATGCTGAGGGCATGCGCTGTGTGGAGGGTCCTGTGCTGTGGGGCTGCCACCATGCAGGGACACATGCACTGTGCTGTGGAGCCATGCACCACAGGGCTGGCTGGGCTGTGCTGCTGCACAGCTTGCACCTTTGTCAGAGGTTTGGGGACACTCTGCACGTGCCAGCCCGGTGGAGGTCACCCAGCCCCACGCCAGGGAAGCGGGTCAGGATCTTGCCCACAGGTCCTGTCCCCTGTGGGCCCTGCTCAGCTCTGCTCTGAAATCTGCTGTTCTAGCACTGCTGGATGCGGTTCAGGTGATCCCGGCACTGCTGTTCCCCCGTGTTCCCGGGAAGCTGTATTTACATTTAAATTGCATTACAGAGGAGCACGCAGCCGGGTGCTGCTGCACATACGGATGCAGCTCTGCTGGCGCGTCCGTGGGAACGGAGCCAGTGGGGCAGCGCGGCACAGGGAAACCCGCCCAGAGGCTGCAGGCAGCGGCGATGGCCGCGCGGCGGAGCCGCCCGGGCTCCCACACCGTGTGCCAGGACCGTCCTGCCCCGGCCCGGCCCGGCCCGGTACCGCGCCCGGCCGTCCCCGCTGCTCGAGCTGCTGCAGGGAGGGCCTCGGCCGCCCCGTCCCGTCCGGCCGGGGCTGGTGTCGCCGCGAGGAGCCGGAGGGGCCGGGGCCGGACGGTGGGGCGCGGGGCGCTGTGGGGCGCCGTGGGGCGCAGCGCGGGGCGCAGCGCGGAGGGCATCGCGCCCTTCCCCTGGCACGTGCTGCCCGGGGCGGCCCGGGGAACTTGGCGGCGGCCCCGGCGGCAACGCCCGCTGCTCGGTCCGGCCCCGGTGCCGCCCC